ATTTATAATCAGAAATTACTTGATTGAACATTTGGAGTCAGACTCAAAATGAAAATTGAAATTTTGTATATTTAACAAGATAATCTGATGCACACAACCCATGGATTATCATCTGGAAACCACTACTGTAGGCTTTCTGATAGAAATAGGTTGCCAAAAACCTCTATTAATCAGGCACTGTATTTGTTGAAATCCTTCTTTAATTAGTCCAGCTTTCCTCCAATGCATGAAGAAATGGAAGGCTTCTGAAAGTATGGCCACTTTGCAGCTTCTGTGGTTGGGCTCCTGTTTACCACCCTCTCTTACATTTTGAATTAAGAATTTACTATTGTCTTAAAGAAGACTTGAAATAATTTAAGGAAAATAGTCTTCCTTTAACATATATTTGTGACTTCATACCAAAAGCTTTTTAGACAAATAGTTGAGATTGGAAAGTCCATGAATTTTAAAGTCAGAAAGATCTCTGACCTCTGCTTTAACCTTTAACTGGCTATGTGATCACAAATTATATAAATATCTGTAAATAATAATAAGGATAATAACAGTTGCCCTTAAGAATGTAAAGATTAGCCGGGTGTGGTGGCGCACTCCTTCAGTTCCAGCACTTGGGAGGCAGAGGCAGGTGTCTCTCTGAGTTCAAGGCCAGCCTGGTCTACAAAGTGAGTTCCAGGCCAGCTGGGGCTATAGGGAGACCTGTCTCAAAAAGACAAAAAAAAAAAAAGAAAAGAAAAGAAAAGAAAGAGTAAAGATTAAATGAAACAGAAATTAATATATTCTTGGATTCAGTTTGCTGGTATTTTTTTGAGAATTTTTTCGTCAGAGATTGACATATTCAATATGATTGATGACAATATGATTGATGATGACATATTGATTGAGCTAAACATTTTAAGAAAAAAAATTTATAAAGTACTTAATTCTTGTAGAACAATAAAGAATACAGTTATAATACCAAACAATACATAACTAGATTAAAAACAACAGAGTCAGAAAGTAACTATAGAAATTAGGAATCTTTTTTTTTTTTATTTTATTTTATGTGTATGAGTGTATTGCTTGCATGTATGTAAAGTGTTCTTGTGTTGTGCGGTACCCACAGAAGTCAGAGGATGCCAGATCCCCTGGAACTGGAGATACTGACAGTTATTAGCCACCATGTGGGTGCTGGGAACCAAACCTGGGTCCTCTGCAAGAGCAGTCAGTGCTCTTAACCACTGAGCCATCTCTCCAGCTCCCATCACTGTCACTCTTAATGTGTCTTCTTTCAGGCTTTTTTTCTATTCATATATACATATGTGGTAAATAAGTTTTTAATAAAAGTGAGATTTTATACATTTTTTACAAACTGATGTATCTTCGATAACTTTTTAAAAAGTTAATGCCTATAAATAGTGATTTAACATTTTAATGCACTTTATAAAAGGACATAAAATTTGTTGATTTGTTAAAATCCTTGAAATTGTTTTACTTCTAAGTGGAAAAATTAGACAAAAATGTGGTTTGTTACAATACCTGTAATCCTTAATCTATCGTTTTTGTTTCCCCTTTCCCAGTATATATAGTATGCATGCTGTAAAATTTGGAACAGCTGTGAAACCCCAGACTAATTTCTTCACCCTCTTTGCTTTGTATTTAGCTTGTCCATTGAGTCAGAGGTAGTCACAGAATCAGATGCACAGAAAACAGTGTGCCCTGGAAATTATCTAAAAGAAAATATTGATGGTATAGCAGAGGTATTGTATTTCTCATCTTTATTTTAAAGCTATTATATACACTGGTTTTCCTTACCATGATTTTTATGACTGTGCTTTAGCAATTATCCTATAAATACAAAAGATTGAAAATATTTAAAGAAACAAGCATTTTCATAGTATAGGGAAACTACAGAGAATGTTAAATTTGAGGAATATTTTTCCCTTCCAAGCATGTTATCAATTTAAATTTTGCCTTTTTTATTCTTTATAAAACTTATTTATGGTTTGTGTAACATCAGTTTCCTAGCATGGGAAGTAGGACATGCCATGTTTGAAATGTTGTTTAGGAATCTGGAACATCCAAGGTGCTGGGATGGTGGCTGAGGCCTCCTCAGGTAGAGGCCAGTGTTCTATTAAAGCTCTTCATCTAACATAGAGCATACCATAGGAAAGCACCCTGTGCCTCTCTTCAGCATTATATTATCTCTAATTCAAACCTCCAGCTGCAGAACTCTGGTCTCCATCTACTCTAAGTAGGTATTTTATCTCCGTGTATGTCCTAGAGACTATGAAGATCACTGCCCTTTCTCATTCTATGCATCAAGGAGAGACATTAGCCACATTTTGGATTCTCCTGCATTCATACGAATTTTCCGTTTGGATCAAATTTACATAGCTGTTAAATAAGTACTTTGATGCTGAGAAAGTGTTTACATTACTAAAATTACTATGTTTGGATGTTGGTACATTGTGGAAAATTGGTTCATGTTAGTAAATACTAAGAAGAAAAATTGTAATTTCACAAAGAAACATAACCAGAGCTTCACATTTAACTTAAAATATATATATATATACACACACATAATCTTACTATATTTAAGTATCCTTAACCCACTTTATTTTAAATATGTAAATACATCTCTCTTTGCATCTCTAAGTTCACAGTTATAAATAAAATAATTTAGTAGAATTAAAAGTACCCAGAAGTTTTCTAAGAAATAATGATATTTGGGGAATGTTTTGAAATTACAAGAGTATGAAAAGTTGGTGTATAATTGCTTTAAAAAATAAATATGCCCTATTTTGCTCTTTAATTTAGTTTTCTGGTGGATTTGGAGTGAAGCAAGAAATGAATATGGTTAAATTGATGGAAAAGCAATATCAAGAACGATTAGAAGAAGAAGTAGCTAAAGTAAGTTTGCCATTTATCTGAAGGTTATTTTCTCTGTTCTCTTTGAACTTTCAAAAGTCATAGATTTCAGTGATGGTATATAACATGTTTTTAGTCATTAGTTTCACATAGAATTTTCCTTTAAGTTGTCTTATAACTGTATCAGCTAAATACTTTTTGTTTTGTTTAGCTGTTTTATTTTTTTGAGCTAGGGTCATTCTATTTAGCTCAGGATAGCCTCAAACTCGTCATCCTTCTGCCTCTACCCCTCAAGTTCTGGGATTTCAGGCCTGTACCATACCTGACACTATAATTGCTTTCAAGTGGAAGAGTCAGAATTTTTCTTTAGACTAGTAATTAGAAACTTTTTGGAATGTCGCTGGGTTTTGTGTGTTTGTTACCTCTTGAAGGAGTTTGACCTTCTTTAAATGTCGTGAAGATTAGAAAAGGAAGACAGGGTGATTACCCATGTTTATCACCCTGTTTAAGCTCTGCTCAGGGAAGATACTATAATGTTAGATATCAACTTTGGGCACTAAGGGATGATTAGTGTGGAACATAGCTCCTGGCTAAGTGAAGTTTTATCAGTGTAGAATCTGCTTATCCTGGAATCTGCAGTTGCTATGCCTAGAGCCTGTCTTTTAAACTCTTGAATATTGATCACATGCCCTAGTCTTGTAGTTCCATTTGTTTTGTCTTAATAGTCACTTTAAAAATATATATATATTCTTACATTTTTTAAGTAAAGATAGTCTTTAGTGTTTCAGTACAAATTTTTTCATTAATCATCACGTTTAATCTATGGTACTTTTTAGTTTTCTGAGATGGCTGCTAGAAAATTTTAAATCATATACTTGGCTCATGTTCTTTTATTTTACAAGACTATTCTATAACATAGTCTACTTATAGAGACTATGGCCTAACTTTTATTTTACTTTATCTTATTTTATTTTATTTTTGAGAATTTCATATATGAGTATTGTATTTGTATTATTTTCATCTCTCCCAGTACCCCTTCAGTTCCTCCCATGCCCCCCAAACTCCTTCTCAATTTCTTCTCCTCTTCGATCAGTTTTGTTACATATACATACATACATACATTTATGAAATGCACACACACACACACACACACACACACACACACAATGCACTCTGTCCATTCAGTGGTGTTTAATTATATCTGTGTTTAAGGTACATGGGATTAGATAATCTTTCAGCGAGTTACTCCCTGGAGGAAATTGATTCTCCCTCCCTCAGCATCTTCTTTCCACCCCTCTTCCATGATGTTCCCTGGGCTTTAGGTGTAGAGGTTGTATTGCAAATATGTCACTTAGGGCTGGCCTGTCACAGTTACTTTTTCTCTTATTTAACCAGTTGGCGAACTTTGTTTTTGTCTCGACATCTGTTGCAGAAAGAAACTTCTTTGATGAGTGGTGAGAGGTATACTTGTCATAAATATAAGGATATGTATTTAGAATATATAAGAAATTATGTTAGTCTATGGAAGTGACCAAAGTAAGTTCTTAGGTTCTTCTCTAGGGTCTGTGACCTCTCTAGCCATGTGTACCTGGCTATGTTTACAGTACCAGGAATGAATTCCCTTTCATTGATGGGTTTTAAGTCCAATTAGATAGCTGTTGATTACACCTAAGATGAATGCCACTACTGCATGAATAGAAATGATTGCTAGACCAGTCATTGTGGTTGGTAGACTTTACAGCTGGATAGGATCATTGATTGGTTTTCTCCCTTGGCAGTTTGCACTGTATTTCTAATACTATGAGAGCTAATTTTCAGGGAGGAGGCTTCCGGGTCAGTTCTAGCAAAATTGTTCCACATCCTGTTTCTGAAGTATGTTGTGCCTTGGAACAATAGGGTCTTACCTTCAAGTTCTGGGAGACAATCAAGGACTGTGGCAATAGCCCGTATTATCTGGGGAATCTCTTGGACTATTCCGACCAACAACTCAAAGGCAGGTTTCCCTTCCCACTGTGATTTTTGTTACGTAGCCTTCATCCATACATATGCACTCATTAGTTATTAGTTATCTGTTTCTTTTTTATAGCAATTCATCTGTTCCAAAATAACAATCTAAGTGGAGAATATATATTTTTAAAAGGAGGATTGATAAAATGTAAAGAAAATATGTAAGATGTTAGTGTTAGTTGAGGTGAAGATCCAGGGAAATATCTGTATCATGAAGACTTTCTCATTATTGTGTGAGAAGAGTTATTGGAGATTGTCCTAGTAGTTTGTTCTTCATTGCTGTGACAAAATACTCTTACCAATACCAACTTGGGAGGAAAGGGTTTATTCAGTTTACATCTCCCAGGTCACAGCTCATCTGGGAGCCCAAGGTAGGAACTCAGGGCAGGAACCTGGAGGCAGAAGCTGGAGCACAGGCCATGGAGGATCGCTGCTTACTGGCTTGCTCCCCTGGCCCCTGCTCAGCTTGCTCTCTTATCCAGCACAGGCCCACCTGCCCAGGGGTGGCACTACCCACAGTGGGGTGGGCCCTCCACATCACTCATCAAGAAGATGCCCCACAGACATAGCCACAGGCCAGTCCAATGGAGGCAATTCCCCAATTGAGGCTCCCTCAACCCAGGTGTGTCAAGTTGACACTAAAGCTATCCAGCACAGAGATCAAGGTAGAAAATGAGTCATCATTTTTATGTAGCTCTCACTATGTGATTTTTTTTTTTCTTTTTGCCATTTCAGTTTATGGAAATGAGTAAATTCATCGATTTATTTGTTGCATACTGAAAAGTACACATGAAAACACGTACATTTAAAATAGTTGTGTGGGGCTGGAGAGATGGCTCAGTGATTAACAGTACTGGCTACTCCCGCAGAGGACCTGGGTTCAATTCCCAGCACTCACATGGTAGCTAACAACCATCTGTAACTCCAGTTCCAGGGGATCCAACTCCCACTCTGGCCTCTGTGGGCATTGCACAACATGGGTACACTTATATACATGCAGGCAAAACACTAATGTGCATAAAATAAAAATAAATAAATCAAAAAATTAAAAAACAAAATAAAACAGTTATGTGGCTGATCACTTTCAGAAGTTCAGTTATCTAGAAACAATGACCTCCAGTTCAGCACATTTTTAGGTATTTGGAACTTTAAAGTAATGTTTCAAGTCTGTTTACAGTGACTGAGTTGGTAGCCAGACAGAAAAAAATATGCCGTAGATAATCAACAGTCAGCATTAAGCATAACCCCACAGGACTTCAGCTTGGACTTCTTGGAGCTAATCAATAGAGGCTTACAAGGCCACCTTGTTGTTTAAATCCTGAGCAGTCATCCTCTTCTTCCACTTAAGTTAGATTATGTGTGGTTGATTAACATCCACAAGAACCTAAGCATCAAGGGTCAAGAAATAACGCTTAAAAACCTAACATAAACTAAACGAAACTCATTTTGGCAGAAACAAATGCTTCAGACCTATGCATACACTAGGACTGAAAATGAACTGAGAAAGTTCATTTTATGAGGTAAATATTGTAGACATTAGTTTATAATGATAATTCTAAATACTTGCCTATCACCTTTTCTCCTTCCATTTATTTTCTAATAACTATTTGATTGTGGCTTCAAGAAATTTTTTCAGTTACTTAATAAAGTCCTAGCATGACTTTAGCATTCTGCTCTTTTTTGATTTCTCTTGTTTCTGCTAAGGAGGTCCTTGTCTTTTTGTTGTTGTTGTTGTTGTTGTTGTTGTTGTTGTTTTTTGTACAATAGAAAGGTAATATATTTTTGGAAAACTTTCAGTTCGTTACTCATCTTGAATCTCTGAAATGGTATGTTCTGCAAATATTCCTAGCTCTACTTCATGAAATTTTCCATTATTCCTCATGATACTGTAATGGAACTATGAATTAGATGTACAGCATTTTTAGTTCATCCTTTATATCGCATTACTTTTTGTTGTTGTTCTTAAGCAACATCTTGTATATTCCAGGCAGGACTCAAACTCTATATAAATAATAATGACCTTGAATTTGTGATCTTCCTGCCTCCTCCTGAGTGCTAGGATTATAGGCATGTGCCATTATGCCCAGTTTGCCAAGCACTGGAGATTGAACCCAGAACTCCATCCCTCCTAGGCCAGTGCTTACTAACTGAGCTACATCCCCAGCCCATCTCTTTGCTTTTTTTGTAGCTTTAATTTTTGTGTTTGTATTTCCATGTTGTATTTTTAGTATGAAGAAACAAAGATAGAGACCAGGTTCAAAGCAAGAAATGCAGAAAGCAGAAGCCAGTCTTAAGGTCTTGACTACTAGTTAGAAAATGTGTTTTGCTGAGTTATATTATTTAAGTCTTTCTCTTTTGACATTTTGCTATAATGGCATATATTCTAGATGGCTGCCTACAACAGTACCACACCAGTCTGTCTGAGTTAGCATAACCACCCAAGAATTCCAATTTGGTAGATGAGATATACTAATGATATCATCTGGACAGAAACAGGGTTCTGTATGTTTAAGGTGCTTCAGCTCTATAGACATAATTTGATTCAAATATCTGATCTAATACTGATTACATATGTAACCTTTGACATGGTTCCTAATCTTTATACTTCAATTTTCTCAGCATTTGGTTTGATGTTATTCTTCAAGACAGTAATAGAGTTACACTACTAGACAGAGCCATCCAAATATGAAGGTCATAGTGAGGTATGATGTTAAATTTTAGAAGATGGGTTGAGATAAGAATGCAGACCCTCAAACCCACCTTGCATTTATTTACTTTGTGTTTTTACAGTCACATCATTTAATCTTTCTTCCTTAGTTTCCTCATTTATTAAATTGGGACATTAATTGGGGCTGGAGAAATGATTCAGCTGTTAAGACTGCTTACTACTCTTGCAGAGGACCCAAATTCAATTCCCAGCAGACAGCTCACAATCTCCTTCAACTCCAGCTCCAGGGGAGCCAATCCCTCTGACCTCTACAGGGACTTGCACTCACATGCACATACCCACACAGAGACACAGACATGCATATAATTAAAAATGAAATTAAATTGAGGCATTAATAGTATTTACCTTATAGCTTATAAAGTATTGAATGAAATATAAACTTTTAAGAAATCAATTTATGTTGCTTGCATTTTTCTTGGTCTAGTTATCATCAACATTATTTTTATTGAAACAGGATTCTGGCATCTGGAGAACATAGCATCTGGAAAGAAGTAGGCTAGCCAGAACCAGGTAGGATTCAGGACCCTAGAAAACTAAATCAGGTTCAAGACAGGAGATTAAAGCAAAAGTTCAGCTATTTGAACTAGACTACCAGGAAGAACCATTTTAGAAAGCTGAAGGTCAGTAGGCATCTATTTTCTCCTGAGTCATGGCAACCAGGCTGACATTGCAGATTATCTATAGAAATGTGACTTGTTATGAACCTGTTGATACATTTGGTTTCAAAGCCTTAGGGTCTTGTCAGAACCAAAGCTGCTGGTCAGAATTTTGAAGTACCTGTGCTAAGGGGGCAGTATACAGGGTTCCAGGGTCATAATTGTAGTAGAAAGTCAGATTAGATTTAAATGTGTAATCATCCTTTACAGCCATGCAAACCAAATGTCCCACTTCAGGAAATCTATTGTGGAGAAATAAGAAAGGCTGTGCACAATGATATATCACAAAAACTCCATCATAGTTCTGCTTAGACTGTTCAGTGGAATCAGGTCACTTCAGTGCCATTTGTATGCAATCCCAGCTTACAGGAGACTGAGGCAGAAGGATCACAAACTTATGGCCAGCCTGGGCTACATAGTAAGTCTGAGGTCTACCTAGGCTCCATAGCAATACTGTTTCTCCAGAAAAACAAACAAAAAAGTAGAACCAGTTTTAAATAGTCAACAGTCAAGACATGATTAAATAAGTGTGTAGTATACCTGTGTATTTCAACTCAGGGGAAATTATAATGAAATGTATTTCCTGTTTCAAAAAGATATTTACTGTTACTATTTACCATTTATATAAGCCATGAAACCCAATTAGAATTTAGAATATGATCATGGTTTTTGTAGAAAATTTCTTCCCTGTATATAGTCATTTCTGTATGTAAAGAAAAAAGAGCTTAGAAAAGTATTTATTAAAAGTTAATAGCAAATTTTCTTGGAAGAAAGAAGTATAAAAGCATTTATTATCTAGTTTTTTTCACTGAAAATCTCTTGCTGTCAAATTTTTAAATTATTTTTTATTTTAAAAGGTGAGCACTAAAATAAATACTTCACTATCAAGTTCCTTGTAGAGAATTTATCTGTATCACTTTATCATAGGATTTCTTTTCATTTAAAACCAGAAGGCCAGGTTTTTTTTAATGCCTATAATTTTAAATAATAACTTGCTTTTATAATTTCAGCCACTGTTTATAAATATAATCCACTTTCTTTTTGTTCCCTTTATTCATTTAGGTCATTGTGTCAATGAGTGTAGCATTTGCTCAAAAGACTGAGCTCTCCAGAATATCTGAGGGGCAAGAATATATTACAGCATCAAAACAAGAGCATGCTCTCTGTCAGCAAAAAGAACATCATTTTAATGAAATGAAATTATCACAGGGTCAAGTTGGTCTACAGACTTTTGACACAGTTGACAAGAATTTTAAAGAAGAATTTAAACCACTTAGTAAAGAGTTAGGAGAAGATAGAAAAGAAGTTCTGTTATTTAATGATGGTCTTGATGATACGCTGAAGTCAAAGGACCATGGGCTGACTATTTCAGAAGAAATATCTTCTAAAGATGAAACATTTATAGTCAGACAGTCTGTAAGTATGCTTCCTAGAATATTAAAAGGAAGAAAAAGTAACCTTGTAAAAATTGTGGCTTCCTTCACTATAAATATATTGACAGTAATGTTGAAGGAAGAAGAAAGGGCCAAATCCAGTCCTGAGGAGGACTCAGATTATTGTGGGTTAACTGTAAAGTAGATGGTTCAGTGACATAATAACACTATTATATAAAACAAGTCTGGTTCAAAGTACTTTTTGCCTTATAGACACTGTATGTATTAATATCTTATAAGTTGGGCCCATGTGATGATCAGTGGATAAAGGCTTCTGTCTTCAAGTCTGACAACCCGAGTTCCATCCCTGGAAGCAACTCCTACATTGTTGTCCTTTCACACACACACACACACACACACACACACACACACACACACATAATAAATAAGTAAATAAATAAATTAATGAATTTTTAAAAGTTTCTTTCAATCTTGAAAGTTACATCTGCCTGGAAGCAACTCCTGCTTTGTTGTCCACACACACACACACACACACACACACACACACACACACACACACAATTTTATTATAAGAATGTAATAAAAAGTCTATGCATTTCTTTCAATCTTATAAGTTGCGTCTGCCTTAATTTTGCTTCTACTGATTCAAGATTATTTATAATTTGGCAAAATCTATAACAGAAAGAATTATTCAATTAAATACAAGAAAATATAAAGAAATAGCTACCTATTTAAGAAGATAAAGCATTTTACTGTCTTTATACTAATTTTCATTTTCCTTTTATTCAGTAGCAGATCTATTCCCTCAACAGTTTGCTCCCTTTATCAGAAGGAAATAAATCCTACTTCTAAAATTATCTGAACTCCAATCAATTGTTAAAGGAATATTCATATCCACTTTTTCTGATACAAAACCTGTGAGGTGTTCATGAAAACCTCCTTAGTTTACCAAAAATATAAGGCAGAATGATTTGTTTAATTAGTGTCTCTTTGAGGACTGAAATATTCATAGAACCCGTTTAGTTGATGTCTTCTCTGAGTCAGAGAAACTGATATATAAAGCTTTTATTTCAAATAAAGTTTATTGAAATTGTTTCTTACCAAGAAGTTCTTTAGAGTGCTATATGACTACTGTATAATATAAATTTAATGGTAAAATTTCTTATGTTTCATAAATAGAATTTTTAAAAAATATTTTATTATTTTTATTTTATGTGTATACGTGTATCGCCTGCATGTAGGTAAGTGCACCTGTGTCATGCAGTGCCCATGGAGGACAGAAGAGGCTATTGGATTCCCAAGAACTGGAGTTACGGACAGTTGTTAGCTGCCATGTGGGTGCTGGGATTCGAATACAGGTTTTCTGCAAGTATAGCCAATGTTCTTAACTGCTGAGCCATCTCTATAGCCCATCATAAATATAATTTAAGAATAAAAAATGTCCTCTCTCTTCCCCACCATAAAATGTGAAGAGGAATAACTGACATTGACAATTGAGTCATAGCTTCATTAAGAGTCAAAGAACTATTGAATATCTTTATTTTCTCCTTTTAGAGTTAGATTTTACTAAATTAGTTTATGAATAGACATTGTCCTCCTTAATTGTAATTAGCTTAATGTTATTTTGGAATTATAGTTAAAAGAAATACCTTTTTAAAACTTTATACTTTAATAATATGATAAAGATGTTTTATGAAATTAGTAGAAGTGCTCTCATTTATTGAGAACATAGATGCTGACAATTTTTCACAATCCATGTGTAATTCTTTCTGTTTATTTTACTGCTAAAGGTCCATGATGAGGTATCGGTATCAAGCATGGATACTTCTAGACAGCTCATGTTGAATGAAGAACAGCTGGAAGATATGAGGCAGGAACTTGTGCGGCAGTATGAAGAACATCAGCAGGCAACAGAACTGTTGAGACAGGCCCACATGCGACAGATGGAGAGACAGCGAGAAGACCAGGAACAGCTACAAGAAGAGATCAGGAGGCTCAGTAAACAGTTAGCCCAGGTATGGCAGCCAGAGTCCCTTTTCTTCCCAATTAAAATAACATTATTCTTTAACCTTTCTTAAAGAGTTAAAATTTATTTTGTCAGAGCTGAAAGAAATTACAAATGTTTAACATTAGGAACATACTCCACTAGCACAATAAGTTTAGATCTTGTTAGGCACACCTAAGTCGAATTTGTAGTATGTCGTGTCGTTTAATTGCCCTTCAGGAAGAATTGGAAGAATATAAAGAGATTATTCCACTGACCATACATAGCAAGCAAAGGCTGCATAGCAGAGGCACTGATCAGCTTGGATGGTCTCTGTGCTGAGGGGCTTGCATATGCAGTTGCTCCCTATTCCTTTACACTTCTATGAGTCTGCCAATTAGAGCTCAGTGGTTTACCTCTGTCTGTCTTTAATCTTACTTGTTAATCATGAATGGCAATCTTCTGGAGTAGCATGTTTCTGGAACTTTCTCCAGTGAATCATTTCTTGTTGATTTGAGAAATGTAAATTTATATAACATTCTTACTCATTTCTTGACTGAATTAAAAAATTCCTTGGTATGTGGGAGCTGTATTCTTATCAACTGCTGTATAAAATATACTCACAAAATCATTGCAGAAAAGCTTTTATGAGAACATTTATTGAATTTAATTTTAAAACTAAAAGGAAAATTAACAAACTCATAACTTGGATTCTTTCTGATGTAAAATAGGAAATTTGGGATTGGAGCATAAAATTTCAATTGGAAAATCAGTTTTGCTTTTCTTCATTGCATTTTGTGGATTCAGATTTCTGAATTTTCAATGCAAAATTGACATAAAAGTATTGATTGAGCTGTACAAATTCCTGAATATTTAAGTTTAATGGAACTTTTTCTAAAGTTTCAAATCTTGCATTGAACTTTGTATATGTCTTTTAACCCCTCATAAATGGAGTATGGGTCATAGAATAAAGGTTTCCGTGTTGGTTCCAAGGAGTTAAAAGAAATCTGCTTAATGTTTCTGTTCTTTTCTTCTATCGCAAACAATATTCTCTTATGACCTTTTTTCTCATTTAGAGATCCTCAATAGATAATGAAAACCTGGTTTCAGAGAGAGAAAGGGTGCTTTTAGAGGAGCTGGAAACACTAAAGCAGCTGTCTTTAGCTGGAAGAGAGAAGCTGTGTTGTGAGCTGCGCAACAGCAGTACGCAAACACAGGTAGTATGGACCCAGGAGCACTGGATCAACAATCCGTAGATTTGTTTGTGTTTGTTGTTGGTGTGAGATACATTTTTATAGTCCTTGAGCTTCACATGTTTATGATTGCCTACATGTAGGTAGGTGGAGTGAAAATGCCTTGCATTCCACTGGCAGTAATTTGAATCTGGTATTGCTATAACAGCAGCTGTTGCTCTACCATGGAACAAACCTAACAAACTTTATTGTCGCAACACACAGCATGCATTCCTTTGAACCCATTAAAGTGTTTTTCATCTGTGCATTAGAATGTTTTATCTTTTGATAATGCTAATCTCTTGATAAAATGTAGTTAAACATTATTTCAAGCAGTGTCCACTTTATGCACAGAGGTTTCTGTTTCATCTCATACCATTATAAAAGTCTGACTTGCTGTTTCTAAGATGACAGGCTTTCTTTCTGTCTTGTCCTCTCTGCCTCTGCACCAACTTAAACAGGATGGAAATGAAAACCAAGAAGTTGAGGAACAGACATTAAAAGAAAAGACACTGGATAGAAAACCTGAAGATGTACCTCTTGATATAAACCTGTCCAATGAAAGGTATATGCAATGTTTGCTTTTTCAGTACAAAGTTTAAAGTGCTTGTTTCAGTTTAATAAACTTTGTCCTTATTTTTGTCTTGTACATTTATACTTTGTCTTAAAAAATCATTGTACATGTATGAAATATGTCCATATACATATGGCAGAGAAAAATTATAATTTTTATCATTAGACAAATTTTTAAGTCTTTTTTGCATGTAATATAATTTTTATTAGACATCAATTTTGATTCTTTTTAGTTGTTCTTTGGATATTGAACTTTTCTTCATTGACTGTTTTTCCTAATGCTGTTTTGTGTCTTAGAAATCAGTTCATCTGTGAGCTTCGTTTCTTGTTTCCTCTTCACTTTATAGACATTCATTTAGTATTAACTAGTCCCTTGCTTGTTTTTAATGAGAAAAAGTCACCATAAATACAAATATCTCAATTTTTCTTCTTTTATGTGTTTGCTATATAACTCCTGAAAAATTTTAATCCACATTCCATTTTTTAAAATATTTATTTTTTTATTTGCTGTGTGTAAGTGTATTGCCTGCATGAATGTGAGTGCACCCGTGTCATGCAATGCTGTGAAAGTCAGAAGAGGGCTTCAGATTCCCCTGGAACTGGAGTTAAGGACAGTTTATAGCTTCCATGTGGGTGCTGGGAATCGAACCCGGGTCCTCTGCAAGAGCAGTCAGTGCTCTTAACCACTGAGCCATCTCTCCAGCCCCCACATTCCATTTTTATAGAGGAGTAACTTAATCACCCAGTGGCATCAAACTGTTCCTAGACTTTATCAAGGTTAATATAAAATGTACAATAATTTACTATATGGGGATAGTTAGCCCATGTTAACATTAAGGCCTTTAAGCACAGTGTTTAATTTTATTTTATTCAAATGAAAATAATTTCTTTAAAATTAAAACAAATATCTACTAACTTAATTTCCTCCTTTTCCAATTTCTGTGACTGTTACCCTTTTGTGTCCTCCTAACCTCCTTCCTCAGCCTGCATGAAGGAATTTGTCCCCTAAGATTTTGGCTTCCCCATTGGATCATCAGTATGGAACGCAGTCAGTATGGAACTCAAACGAGAAAGACAGTGTATGAAAATTAGAGTTACCATGACAATATAAAATAAACATTTTGTTTATTTTATATTATTTTTCATTATTTTATATGTTCTACAAATCATGCATTGTATAATTTTTAGGAATTTTTATAGTCAAGTTGATAAAATGACTATTCATCCTTATTTCTTTTTAACCACTATATTTAATCAGTTCTCTTAAGCAAAAATATTGTCACATCATTCTAACCTTAGAATTTGAGGGTTGAACAAAAGCTAACAAAATAACTTTTACTTTCTGTCAAATTATTTGGATTTATTTTTAATTTTCTTCATTATGCAAGTGGAGAACTTGATCTGGATACAAAAATAGAACCCCCGTCTTTCACTGACAGCTACTGAAGGAAAACATTTCCCTTTATTACTTTGTCCTAAAATAGGGAGATGATGTGCCTGAGACACAGATGTCCCTTAAAGGCCTGTTTGTTGGTAATCTCCTACAGTGTGAAATTGAGATAAAACTCTTAAGCCAGGGAGGCTTTACCACAAGTCTGTCATTTGTCTCCATGTATTAAATGTAAAGTTTGCAACTGGAGTACTTCTTTTGAATGAAGCTGTTAGGATTATTCAAATAAGCTTTCAATCACTGTTTATGGAAATACATTTTTTGATACAGTTTTAAAGGTTCATGCTACACTAAGGAAAAAGTTCATAAAAAAATTTTCAGGATGATCTCATTTTTGTTTTTTTAAAAATGTATATATTTATGAGTAAGACAGAGGTGGGAGGAAAGTCTAGGCATTAAAATTTTAAGGAGGATGTCTGAGTGCCAAAATAGTTTGGAAAATGATTGACAGTCGTTTCTAATTTTTAAAAAAGAAGAATGTATTCTTCTTTTTTAAAGACACAATTTATTTCTCTTTATTGAAATTTTTCTGTTGGTTAAAATGAGTGTGATGTGTGAAACTAGATACAGTTTTGCCTCTGGAGTAGATGTGATCTTTATTTCTTAAAGTCCTGTGATATTTGTGTTGATGTTTACATAGTGAAATTTCACCATGGACCTTTTTAAAAACTGAGCTGTACCTATTTCTTTTAAAATATAGGCATCTAATTAAATCAACATTAAGTTGTAGAAATAATACATTTTTTTCCTACTTGGCTTTTAAAATTATATTTTAAAATGTGTTGTTTGATACATGAAGAGATGAAATAATCTGTATGAATAACTATGAACAATATTACCAACTCAATAACTTACATATGCTTGGGTATTACTATACTATTTCAAACTTAAATTTATAACTCTGTAAAATATCTGATTTAATTACTAAAAGCTTAGTTACTTGATTTCTTTGAGGTCAATAAGACACACATTTAACAAAAAAACAAATGTTACAAGCTATGTAGAACTGTTAGAAGAAAGCAAGTCCTTCTATGATGCAGTTTTAGGATAAATAAAAAACAGAGGCCCTTCGTCGTGGTGCTTTTGCATATTATTTAATCAGATCATATATTTTTCCAGTCATTTTTGTAGTGCTGGTGTATTAGCATAGTGATTTGGTTTTGATTAAGCATTTTAATGAATGATTCTTTCTCTATACAGGTATGCCCTCCAGAAAGCTAATAACAGACTTCTGAAGATCCTGTTAGAAGTTGTAAAGACAACAGCAGCTGTTGAAGAAACAATTGGCCGCCATGTCCTTGGCATTCTGGATAGATCTAGTAAAAGTCAGCCAGCTACCAGCCTGATTTGGAGATCAGAAGCAGAAGCATCTGTAAAGCCTTGTGTCCAAGAGGAACATGCGAGAGGTACTAGTTTTTTTATGCTGTTGAAATAATCCACATCTTCAACAAATGCTCAGCTCAAGGCACTTTACAATGTACAGAAAAGTACCTAAGAGAGAATATTCCAATGTTGTACAACAAATGGACTTGTATACACACCAAGACATTAAAGCTACTCTTCTCAACATCGTCATTGTGTAGTACTCGCAGGTGGTGTCTTAGCATTGTCTTCATACGTTTCCAGATCACTGTGATACCTACATAAACCAGAAGTCAGTTTCATTTGTCTACTACCAAAATAAAAATTATATTTCAATGCTCAGGACTCTTACATCTACACTGTGAATTAAGGAAAGGCTAAAATGAAGAGATATTAGGAATCCAGTAGCATTTGAGATGGTTAAATGAAAGTCTTTGCAAGAAGTCTAAGCTTTGCGCTTATCTTTGGACTATCTCTGCTACCCTTTCCTCCTTTTGAAAGTGTCAAGACGGAATGTGTCACGTCTGGATTCTAAGATTGAGTTCTGACATGACAGCTATCCTCCTAATTCTGTCTTCTTCCTCTGGCTGTATGGGCTTTCTTTCAATTTCTTGCTATCACATTGCTGACCTCTAGTCTCTCTTGTTTTTTCAGTACCTTATTCCTTGCTGAAGAAGAATCAGGAAATCAAAAGACAAAGTTTTTGTCAGATGCAGAAAGATAGGGTTTGGATTCTTGGATTAGAAGATTAAATCTACAGTTCACACCATTCCACACCTGAACTCTTCTCCCCAGCTACAGGCAGATCTTCTAAAATGCCAAGTTTTTTTGCAATTTTTGAAAGCATTCACTTAAGCGTCATGTGGAGAAATGAGAAGAAAATGTCCAGTTACAGAAGGTTTTCTTAATAGAAGTTGGCTGATGGTGTGGTTGTCAGTTCTTACTAAGGAAAACTTGATTTGAAATTTTAAATAAAATTAAGAACACCTTAGTTGAGTTCAGAGATCATTTTAAAAACTATTTTTAGTAAAATAAGATATAAGAAATAATAATGACTTTAAACTTTTTTTATATTTTATTTATTTATTTTATTTTATGTGTATCAGTGTATTGCCTGCATGTATATAAGTGCACTTGGGCCATGCAAAGCCCACGGAGGTCAGAAGAAGGCATTGGATTCCCCTGGAACTGGAGTTATGGATGGTTGGTAGCCACCATGTGGGTGCTGGGAATTGAACCTGAGTCCTCTGTAAGAGCAGTCAGTGCTCTTAACCGCTGAGCCAGCTCTCTAGCCCCTTAAACTTTCTTTTCACATTCACTCTTTTCAAGTGTGATAAATAGATTTTATTTTCAGATTATGTGTATATATGGATCCTGATGTGTAGAGAAGAATAATATAATATTTTAAAATATTTAAAACATGTAAAAATGTTTAAATTATGCTTAAAAAATAACTGGTTTTGCTTAATTATCTAGGGAAGAATTTTACTGTTCTACTGGTAAGATATAGACTAGGCTGACGCCTGTTGAACGCCACAAGGAATGTTGTGTAGACCACAAATAGGCCTTTTTGCCTTTCTGTTAGCAGTTTCCGTAGATATTGCTCAAAATGGTTGCTGAACTATTCCTCAGACAGCAGTGAACACACTTCCAAATCAGTGTGCTGGAGATTATGAAAGGGATAAATTGGTAATTTAACTCTAACTCAGAGGATTGCATTTGTGCTTATTTACTTTGAGTAAGGAGACATAAAGGATGTCTGACCCACAAGCCAACTTTCTTTATGAGTTCCTTCAAAATTTCCCAGTGTAGATGAAGTATATTTATGTCCATTAGTAGTTATTTCTCGTTTATAAGCAGTTTTATCAGTTAAATTCTATAAACATTGAACTTCTAGAAATAATTATTGGGCAATTTATCCATAGTTCCTGCTTTATAGCAATTCATAGTTTAACAAAGGAAGCAAATAGATTCCCATTCAGGACATAATAGAATATTACAGTACAAGAAGAAAATGTCAATCTATAGATAGAAAAAAAGTGTATAGAGTGCTATTCCAGAGATCGTTTTTTTAGCATTAGCTCCTCTGGTTACAGTGCACTCTCTATGCAGTTAACTCAGCAGTGCTGCTAGTCTTACTAATAAATTAGTGTGACCACAGTATTGGTAAGGCATACTTAAAGGTCTATTTTGTATTCTTAAGTATATATTGAATTGATACAGTATATGATTTAACCCTAATAACTATACTGGATTTAAAACATTGCTAATATAGAATCTTTCTATATAAGAATCTAATCTCACATTTCTTCATATTTTGGGGTAGAAGCATTACAAAAAGTAAAATGCACCTTTAAAATTTTTTTTTTTAATTTTTACAAAAACTTTGAGAATTTCATACATGTATATAAGGTGTTTTGATCAAATTCATGCCCACTCCCTCCCCTCCAACATTCCCCCCTCTGAAGAGGTAACCCTAAAATCTTTTAAGGATTGGATACAAGCAATGTCTCTTTAACATAACAAAAATTAAGTCTTATTCTGATTACAAAGTGACATTTTTTAATTAATTTTCACTAAAAATATAATTATATTTTGGAGGGCTCTTTAAAAATACTAAAATAGAAAATTTATTTAAAAACAATAAAATAACAGCTTCTATTAAATATGCACTATATATAACAAACACACCACGGTACCAACAATTCCAACTCCTTTTAATTACAAATTTTCTCTCTGCATTAAACCAGTAGTTGTCTGCATAGAAGACTTTTTTTTTTTTAACCAATCTTACTTCTTTCTTTATGTACAAAGTGACTTTTTACTCTTCAGTTTTATATATGACTTTTTTGTTGTAACACTTTGTCCTATTTTGACCTTCAAGTCTAAACTTGTTTAGATTTTTAGCAGGTATGGACTTGCTAACACTTGAAAAAAATAAATAAGTGATTTGTTGATGTTTGCTTCCTCATAAGAGTAAACTAGCTTATGAAATTGAAAGGAAATTTTGAACCACTGTGTATTCAGTTTAACCTGAGTGAACATCAGATCACTTCATAAAATGAGTTCCCCAGACTATGTTGATTGAAAATTTCCTTTAGCGCTATGGTAATTTAGGGGTAGAATGCTCTCTCTCTGGTTGGAGCCAGGAGCTGAAGTTGGTTTGCAGCTTTCTTTTGGTGCAATGCAGTTCCATAGGTACTGGCTTATAATAATGAGAATATACTGGTTCTTTTCAGATTCGTAATCACCTGAAGTGAATTTCTTAACTCTCACAGATCCGTTTATCTCTTTTCTCTCTTCTTTCTTGCTTGTTTTGAAGCATTTTGCCTTGTATCTCAGGCTGGCCTGGAGCTCACTGTGTAACTCACACTAGTCTTGAACTTATGGCAGTCCTCTTACCTCAGCCTCCTGAGTCCTGGGATCATAGGTATGCCTCCCTGAGCTCAGCTTTCTCCCAGATCTCTAGTACTATTTTCTCATCTGTCAGATACTTGGGTCAGACTGGGATCAGTGGTTTTCAGTTGACACCATCGAGAGCTTCAGCAAACCATTGAAGCTGGGAGGGCTCTGTCATATTGCTCATTCCATCCTGAGGAGAGGAGCTTGTTAGCTGTCAGGGAATGAACAGTATCATCTTCTAGTACAGTACCTGACTAAAAGATTTGATCAACCATTATTTGCTGTTTGCAAAAAAGATCTGAGTTGTTCACCTATCTGAAATGATTCTATTCTCTAAAACTAACCATTCTGATATTTCTCTTGGCATGTTGTAAAATTGCCCTGCTTATTTATATTGTCATCTGCTGTTTATCCCTCTAGACTAGTTATGAATAAAGTCTAAACTTGACATCGTTCTCAATAATATGTTCATAAGAATGAAAGAGAACTAACAAACAAAAAACCCATTCCATTTCTTCAACAGAACACAGATTCTTTCAAATAATTTATATCTTTAAATTTTTTTCATGCTGGGGCTCAGACCTAGGACTTTGCATATGTTAGGAATTCTACCACTAAACTGTATACTCAGTCCTAAAAAGTGTCCTTAATAAAATACATTGACTGAGTGACTTACACCTGTAATCCCAGCACTTGGAAAGTGAAGACATAAGGATTGCTATGAGTTGAAAGCCAGCCTACATAGAGGAGACGCTGCCTAAAAAAACAAAAACAAATAGACAAAAGAAGCTATTAAGCATGCTGACATCTTTATGTTTGGGGGTGGGGATGCTTTAGTGCCTACTTTTTATTAGCCATTTCAAAAACACTAATAATCCATGGCCTTTAAAAATACGCTTTGTTTTACTTGGCCATTGTATTTTTGTGCTTGAGATTTGCACCCATGTATATACAATATCTTTAATCACTGCTCCTCTGTACCACAAGATAGCCTTCATACTGTTTTTAAAAAAGAAAGTATTGATTGATGTCTTAGAATGCAATGTTGTATTTTATTGCCAACAATTTGTGCTTTAGAAGTGGTGCTTAGAGGAGCTGCATCTGAGATCATGATGCACAAAATTGAGAGCTCTCTGTGGGTACCCGCACCTCTGCAAGATAGGTTTTAATAAGTAGCTCTTGGTTCTGGGTGAAGGTATCAAACTGAATGTCTGTTTTAAGTACTCTACTTTGTTAACTTGGTACAGTTATTGATGACTACTATGTACTGTAATCAAAGAACAGGTAATTCTTCTTTGGAAAGTTCCACTTTGGGGTTGTAGTATACTGTCATGGTTGAGTAGTACAATGTTAGATGGCAGCAATGAATAACCCATGTCTTGACTTTAGAGAAAGTGACACTTATCTTCTGTCCATGTAGACTTAGTTTTCCTTTCATAAGAAGTAAGACTATCAATACTGTGAATAACAATGTCCACACTTAAATTGGAACTGCTCATCAGACTGTCTTCTTCCCATCATACCACTGCAAGAGTAGCACTCAACAAAATTATCTTAGTCCATTTTTCTGTGTTACCAAAACAAATCAAATCAATCATTGTGCCCAGAGTAGGCTCAGAAGTCAGAAGTTGAGATAAATTAAGCACTTACTCTCTTCTTCTACACCCTTGTACTGTCCCACTGCTCAGTAATTTGGGTTTGTATTTTTTTTTATTGTGTGTGATGTATGTGATGTGTGTGTGTGTGTGTGTATGTGATAAAAGCTAGAGGAGGGTATCACTTTGTAGCTTAGACTGACCTTGAACTGTGTAGCAACCCTCAGCCTCCTAAGTGCTAGGATTATAGTACTGCCATACCATGCAGATTCTGTTGTTTTGGGGGGAGGGCACTGAATATTAAACCTAGATCCTTGCATATACTAGGCAGTGGCTCTACCGATTGCCTATATGTGCATATGTGGAAGTCAGAGATCAAAATAGGAGTCTTCCTCAATGACTCCTCCTTACTCTTTGAGACAGGGTCTCTCATTGAACCTGCAGCTTACCACATTGGCTAGACTGGTTGACCAACAAGCCTTTAGATCTTTCTGTCTCTATACCCTGCCCTACTCCTAGTGCTGGAGTTACACCTGGCTTTTATGTGAGTGCTGGGAATCCAGACTCAAGCCCTCATGTTTGTGTGGTAAGCACTTTACCCACAGAGCCATTTCCCTAGCTCCTTTTCATGTTTGTTTACTCATTACACTGTGAAGCCTGTGGGGATGAGAACCAGATCTTGTGACTTAATTTCCTCATTACTTTTCAAACACTACATGCTGACATCTGGAAAATATCTATTGAAAGTTGTCTTACAAGTTTCTATCAGGCTGGGAGTATGGCTCAGTCTTAGAGTACATGCTTAGCACATGTAAAGCCCTGAGTTTGATCTCCAGCACCAGAAAGTAAAGTTCTCATCAAAGAAAAAAAATAAGTAACCCAAATATTAATTTCTGCAGTCTTACAAGAAGAGTGTTTTTCTTTCCTATTCTTACTTACTTGGCTATTCAGTAATATTACATTGTATATTTGTTTGTTGTGAAATTGTTATTAAAAGACTTTGAAATGTTAATGACTCAGATTTTGACTTGCTATTTTAAGTTACTTAATTTTGTAACCTTAAATGTTATGATTGATTAATTTATGCTTTTAATGTTATTCTAGTTACAGGTGAATCAGTACCCGCTTACCCTGGAAGTGCTATAGCAAGAAATGACAGCATGTGGTCAAAAGTAACTGAGGAAGGAACAGAACTATCACAACGGCTTGTGAGGAGTGGTTTTGCTGGAACTGAAATAGACCCTGAAAATGAGGAACTAATGCTAAATATTAGCTCTAGACTACAAGCTGCAGTTGAAAAACTCCTAGAAGCCATAAGTGAAACCAGCAGTCAGGTAACCTCTTTATTGTGCTGTCTACTGAGATTGATGCAGATTTTCTGTTAAGCCGTGGAATGACTGAATGATTCTCTCTGCTATACAACACAAATTTAGTTAGGTTCCCCTTTAATAATTGGTTGGGTTAGGCCAGGTTAGTGGAGCAGACCTGTAATTCCATCTGTTTGGCAGGCCAAAGCAGAGGATCTCAAGTTCAAGGTCTGCCTGAACAACTTACTGAGATGTTGCCTTTTTAAAAAAGGACCAAAAAAAAGATCTGGAAATCTAACTCAGAAGTAGAGTGCTTGCATAGCATGTACAAGGTCCTGAGTTCAATCCCCAGTACTGAAAAATAAATTTAGTAAATATTGGTTATGTTTGTAGCCAGCGCTGCTGTCAAGTTTTTCCAGGTGAGAAGTGGTGATATAATATGCAAATGGATGCTTCCACTTCTAAAATCCAGTATTGTTCTAATAGATTGTCTAGACTCTTATGCTAGTTATTTTATATCAAAGAGATTTTAACCTTACCATTGTAGAAAGTGTTCCCTTTCTGTTCCTTGAAAGAATCTCTAAAACCATATATGCTGGAGAGTATCGTAACATAGTATTATTACAGTCAGATCAAACTTGGAATTCCTTCACTTGATTTTCATATCCATTTTATAAATATGAATAGGTTAGTTGAGCTTGCAAGCTATCTCTGAATAGGAAATTAGTTTGGGACATTTTTTTAAATTACCGTTTTTATCAAAACCTTTAAAAGATATGACCATTATAAACTGATATTCTCTGTCCATATAATTTGTACACCATATGAACATTGACTCTTAAATTACTCTATGCAGAATTTTAAAAATTATTTACTGTTTTAAAGTAATTACTTACTTGCAAAATGTTTAGCTTGAGAGAATGGTGAAATTATAGCTGTCATATTAATCAAGTGAGAGCTTCATTATCAAGTACAAGGTGAGTATTAACATTTTATTACCTCTCTTCAGACCCAGGTATGTTTAAGATAAGCTAAGAGGTTGAACAGGTGATGCCATATCATTTCTCATGTCTGGCTTTCCTTTGGTGATACTTCTTTGTCTAAGAAATTATTCAGTACAGCATGTTTCTATTATAGAGTAACTATTGGATGCAGCAACAGTGACAAATACTGTTCTGTATTTTGCAATTCACTGCCAGATTCAGTTTCTTTAGAGTTAAGTTAATGATTGTAGGCCATTTTTTAAGTTATGACACTTAAAATATTTGGTAACTGCCTACTTTGTGGTTAATGCACCATTATCAGTCTAGTCTGTCTTTTCTCTAGCCCCCTGTACCTCTAGCAACTTGTTATGAAGATTCTATGAGGAAGGCATTATCCACACAAAATGTTTCCAGAGAAATTAACCAGAATGCACCTGATTAACCAGAATGCACCCCAGATTTATTTCTTTTTGTTTGGAAACATTCTAAATCTTCTCTGTGATAGAATGTGAAATTTATTTTTGAAAACCAAAGGAACCCTGTAGTGTAATAATCCATGAATTGGGCTTAAGTATTCTTTTTTTGAAAAGATTTATTTTTTCTTATTTTTATTTGTGCATGTGCTTGCGTGTGTGTGTGTGTGTGTGTGCGTGCGTGCGCACGCTCCTGTGGAGACCAGAAGAGGATGTCAGAGCCCTTAGAATTGGAGTAATGGGCAATTATGAGCTGCCCAACATGGTACGAAGAACCAAACTCAGATCCTCTGGAAGAACAGTATGGGCTCTTAGCCATGGAGCCATCTCTCCAGTATACATATCTGTTCTTTTATACATCTGTATTGCCCAAAACTGATCTAGCCAGTCAAGTAGTTAACTAAACACTCAGAAGTATTCCTACATATAAATCTGAGGATGTTATAAAATATTTAATCAAATAACAGAAGAAATCGGTACCTTGTTTTTCTGGAGCTTTCTTTCATAACAGGTACAAATGACAGAAAGTTTTCACTTTGTTGCCTCAAAATTCCCCTTGAGTATTACAGAAAACAGGAAGACATCTAATATTCTTAAATTTTCAAATGTTTATCTATTTGCCAGTCAGAAAGAATGACATTTAGTACAAACAACAGTAGTGGTCCCATCATCAAAATCCTGAAGAGTGATGTCTCTTTATCAACTGCAAAGAAAATAACACTGATAAAAGCCACCTTCCTTTGTGTTATTAACAAGACATTAGATTATACTTCTGAATCAGAGTTTGAGCTTTAGCCAGAAGTTTTGTATACTTTATTAACTCAAACATGTCATAATGTAAAATTCTGTAGTTAAAATATACATTTTCTAGGGAGGCATACTATTTCCTCTTACAGTTAACTGAAGCCCTGAGTTGGCTTTCCTTTAGAATGTCTATACCTAACACTGCTTTTCCAGTATGCTGCCCCACTGAATCAGCTGAGCTAACCAGACATTTTTAGTGGTTGTTTTTCAGCACTTTTAAAGCTTGAATGCATTTGGGTTAGAATTATCCCATTATTCTGTGAAAGTTGTATAGTGCATGATTCTAGACTGAGTTCATGCATGATCCTGCTTCTTTTTGTTTTGCCTATTGGAACCATGTTAATATTTAACTGTACTTGGTACTTTAAACCTTTTATTTATTTGGGGGGATGTTTTTTTTGCTTTGGTTTTGTTGAAACAGGGTCTCCCTATAGCCCCAACTGGCCTAAAACCAGGCTGGCCTCAATCTCACAGAGATCTGCCTGCCTTTGTCTCCTGAGTCTAGGATTAAAGGCATGCTACCACACCTTTCTTATTCTAATTTTTTTTCATTTCCTTATGGTATTTTCATACATACGTGGTTTCAGTTAACCATTTCACTCTCCCTCATCTCCCTAAGCTCCTTCCTCACTTAAACTCACCCCTTGTATTCCCCTTTTCACATTCATTTCATAAATGTACTTTCTGTTGTACAGGAGAACAACTGTCAGTATTTCTTCTTTTCCTTTTTTTTTTTAAATTTTATGTGTGTGTTTTTCCTGCATGTACCACGTGCATGCAGTCCCTGCAGAGGCCAGAAGAAGGTGTCAGAGCCCTTGGAACTGGAGTTACAGATGATTGTTAGCTGCTATGTGGGTGCTAGAAACTGAACCCAAGTCCTCTGCAAGAATAGTCAGTGCTTTTAACTATTGAGCCATGTCTCCAGCCCCTGGTTTTTCTTTCTTAACCTTTCTTAATTACTTTTGACTTAAATCTTAACTGCTATTAATATTGTTGCTTAGTGCTATTACAAAGTAGTCTAGTTAATGTAATATATGTTTATCTTTTGATAAGCTCCATGGAAAATGATAAATAGCAAGCGGCTCCTACAGGCCACTTGTTCTAATAGGCAACCTGAAAAACTGCCTTGTACTTGCATACTGTCAGCAGTCAAGTATGTGGGATCTACCTGAAACACTCAGTTCCCCATGCCAAGTTCACAGCACATAACAACCATCTGTTTATGTGATGAGCTGGTGAGGTACAGCAGAGGTTGCCCATGGCATTTTCAGTTTAAGTACTATGTTATTTTGCTATAGCTTTATTTTTCTATTTTAAATATCTCTGAACAGATCACAGACTTTCTATGTAAAGCAGTGACTCTGTGGTGAGGATTTCTTAAAGAGAAGTGCCAGCACCTGCAACATCAGCAAAACACACAGATTTCTTTTTCTAAGTTTAAGAGAAATTTTATTGATTCAAGAATTTCATACAGTGAATTTTGATTATATTCAGACCTTCCTTCTCCCCCATTTCCACCCCTACCCCCACCCCCAACCCCAACTTCATGTCTTCTATTAGCAACTGAAAAACGCCAGCCACCTATCTTACATAACTGAACTGGGTATCACAGAAATCATATCTCATTAGTGTCACTGATCTGTAATTAATTTTTACACAGAGGTGTTCCAAAGTAAGGGTCTACTCCCTTGCCTTTGTATACTCCCAGGTCTCTTGGAATGGGATTTTCACTCTTAATTTCCGTTTCTCTTACACACTGCTTAGGAATGTCAAGTAGGGATTTCTCTCTTCCTCTGTGATCAGAAATGCTTGGTTTTCCTCATCAAAGTTAGTTGTTCGAAATCCTTGCATGCAGGATTTCCTCACCCAGCACAGTGACTCCACTATGGACCAAGAGGTTCTCCAACAGGTTGATTCCACACAGGGTTTTACTGTGGATAAAAGCAGAAGCTAGGTCCTCACAGCAAGTTAGCTCACAGGCCTCCAATCCAAGATTCTCTGAGTGGCAGTTGGAAAATTTCACAGCTTCATACAACTCTCTATACCAGTGACCTCTAGTTTATTTTCTGAAATCTGTAGACTTCTTAGATTCCTAATGTTGTTGAGGACTGCAGCCAGCTCTTGACAGCCACTGGGTGAAGGTGATGGTTGGCTGATCATGGGTGCCACCGAGGCATGTGGGTGGGCAAGTCTGCATGGCTTTACCAGTGTGAGTGGGTGGCCATGCCAAAACAGAACTCACAGATTTTTTAGCTGCCCCCCTCAGCCTGCTGAATTTAGGAACCCAACATCCTAGGTCTCCTAGGTGATTCTGATACACACCGAAGTTTGAGAGCCACTAACCTAGAGATTATTACTTTAATCACACATTGTTCTGCTTCATTTTGGAGTACTCTACTAATATCTATTATTTATGTATGTTGAAGCAGTTGTTGATATCCAGTATAAAAAAGTTACAAAAATGAGACATTTCTTAGGTGAATTATATTATTTTTAAATTATTTATTTATTTATTTTTATTTTGAGTGCATGAGTGAATGTTATGTTTGCATGTATATAAGGGCACCAGTGTAATGCGGTGCCCATGGAGGACAAAAGAGGGCATTGGATACCCTGGAACTGGAATTACAGAAGTTGTTAGCCACCATGTGGGTGCTGGGATTCGAACCTGGGTCTTCTGCAGGAACATCTGTGCTCTTAACTACTGTACCATCTCTCCAGCCCTGGTGAATTATATTTTTAAGGCCGTGGGAATAGTAGCTTTGTA